ATTTCAAAATGAAATACCACATGAAATGCCACATAGCAAAATAATGCATCATTTGGATTCGAAATACCATAGAACCAAATTGATGCATCCAAACGGCCCGTTAATGGTTTAATCACTTTACTCTGATTTGGTATTGATACATGCAAAAGTCATTATACATTTATAGATTATATAAAATTTCATATAACATATGATTAGCAACATATAACTTTACATGAAAATAACACTTCGTACTTGGATACTAACATATATTGCAAAAGGGTAAATTGCAAGTTTGGTCACTGGAATTACTTAATAAGTTCACGTTTGCCACTAAAATTAATTTATTTCATCCGCAGTCACTCAAATTAGTTCAACAGTTCAAGTTTGGTCACTCTCCGTTAGTCTCCGTTAACTTTATCTGACGTGGCAGTCAACTCGAAAGTTGACCGTTAAATAAATGACGTGACAAGTAAAAAAATAATAAAAAATTTATCCTTTTATAAAAAAAATTCACCTCATTATCCAATAAATTCAAAAAACATAAAAAAATAAATTCCCCATAAATTCCAGCCCGCAGCGCTCCCCTGGTCGTCGGACCGGGTACCTGCTGTCGCGCTCTGCTCTTCTTCACCGCCGAGCCGTCAGCTGGAGGGGTTGACGATCGGATTCAACAGGCACCACCTAGTTGCGGGGAACGGTTATAATAGAGGTGATTTATACTACGGGTTGGAGTTGGAGCACTACAAGAAAATTTACTATTAACAGCTAACTGTATTTGCCACGATAAGTGCTTTATGTGCCTCGATAGCCTTGTAGCGGCACATAAATGTGTGCTGCCAATACCGTTGCCGCTAAATCTCTTTAGCGACAAATGTTAGCGACACATATTATCTGCTACAAATACTAATGTCTCCAATTTGAGAAAAAAGACAATAAATAATAAAAAATAGATGTAGCTAATTCTAAGATTTGTAGCAGATATATATGTTTTCCCATTTCGTTTATTTATTTTTTTTCTTTCTCATATACTGATACATAATTTTATCAAAATGGATTTTATATTTTTGCGGCAATGTAAGATCAATCGTTGGAAGTTTTTGGGGTTTGCAAGGTGAACAGCAAGCATCCATGTCTCAGCGAGCAAGCCTCTGAAAAATTACTTTCAATTCCGGTTTTGGCCCTTTCTTAGGTATTACTTTCACTGCAATAATCCATCGCTGATATGAATATGCAATTCGATAATCCGGAGAATCGAAATGAAATAAAAGAAACAATAAAATCAGAGCAAAGCAGTTACGGGAAAAGCCCTATGTTTGGATCTTTAGAGCAGCCATTGCTTATTTTGACAAGTCATGTTGCGCTTGTTCTCCCAGCCAATGCAAATATACATCTCCACTGCGATATTGTTCCGCTGAAAGATAAGGAGTTGAGCATAGAGAAATATATAGAGAACATTGTCGCCTTGATGAATCATCTCTCTATTCAAATCCAACATATCTCTTTCGCGTCTTTCATTTAAACTTATGTTGATATTATATCGGAAATGAAATAAGGAAAAGAATCAAATCGGTGACATGCTCAGCTCTGCCAATCCGCCTCTACCTCTTCCATAATGCACCCAAGTGCAGTCCATCTACATATGGGTGATTTGGCTGATGCTGTCGTCCGATCAACTACCAAGGCTGCTTACATTACATACATGCATCAAAAACTAAAAAGGGGGAAATATGATTTTATATGTTACATAGTTTTTTTTTTTTTTACACAACTAAACCGATCAACTTATTCTAATTAGAGTAATTAATTATTCGACCCACCTCACACACGATATTATAGGACCATGTAATGCATGTGCTGTTATGCCATCCTAAACAAACACAAGAAGGAATTTTATATATTGTTTAGATCGAAACGACAATGTAGCCGCCCATCAGCGACCAGATTTCCGGCGCCGTTTCTTGTGCCGGCCACCTTAGCCCTTTTGCCGGTGCTGCTTCCACCTGTCCATGGGCATTAAGGTCAAACCGCCGCTCCATCATTTTTTCCCCCATGTCTTTTTGTCTTCTTCTTGCATGGCTCTCCATTTCTCCGCCAGATTCGTTCGATGAGGGGAAAGAATAGAATACTACCTCCCCAGGAAATTAGGATGTGCACCGGGTTGGATCGTATTGAATTGTATTGAATCCAATCCACATATCAAATTGAATAAAATATAGTCTAGTCTTTTGTTCTTTTAAATTTATAAATAAATATTAAAAAAAGATCGATCAAATTAACATTTGGACCGGATCAAAACCGACCGAATGTAACTTTGGTCAAGTCATTAGTTCTAAGACGTATTTCATAATCGAATTGCATTTCTCATTTGATCCAGGCCCAATCTGACTATTGCACACCACTGTAGCCTATGGAAAACAGCATAATTAAGTTACCGCTCTCCATTTTATTTTGCGAAACAAAATGTACAACATTAGAACGAAGGAACAAATAGTTATCCTCTACAATTAATTATTTTTTACCAACATGTAGCTAGGTGGAATGGTGGATGATATTCTTATTCTTTGTAATTTTATATTGATTCTGATTAGTCCCAAATTAAGGATTTTTTTAACACTTTAAAGTTTAAATGACCTCTTACTGAAATATTGGATGGAGTTTTTCTTATGCATGGTGTTGGCCTCAAATTAAGTTCGAATATAATATATAATGAAACTTTATAATATCATCTCACATTATTGTTATACAAACTCTTTTACATAAAGTTTGGTACCAAATGAATCTACAATTCATTTCATTTTAAAATGAATTACCATATAGAATTCATTGTCAAATGAATTCTTGTGTTTGGTATGTTATATTCAAATCTTAAGAAATAAAATGAATTGAATTCCCAAGTACGTTTGTAATTGAATTGAATTAAAAGTTTCCAACTACGCCCTTATTAATTCTCGCTAGAAACAATATTCATTGAAAATCCATCTTTTGAAAAATGCTTTTGGTCCCATACGTAGAATATCAAAGTGTTCTTGTGTGTTTCTATTTTATTCATTAGTTCTTTCGATATTTTGTCAATGAACCCTACACTCTAGTTGTAGCTTCTCAACAAATTGATATAATCAAAGCAGAAATATCAAATAACCAGAATATGCTACTAGCGCTGCAATCAAATTCTTGCCGACGTTCCTCATACTGCATGAACTGGCATCAAATAATACATGTAGAATTAGTTTAGTTAATAAATGAGGATAATTATGTCATTTTGTTATAATTAGTAAATTCTTGTGGAATTCATTTGGAAATTTCATCTTAATTCATCGGAATTGCTATGACTAGCTCCAATTCCGTAGAATTCAAAATTTAGAATTGGAAATGAATTCTTTTAAATATCAAACAAAAATAAATTCATTTCAAAATGAATTTCTTAAAATTTATGAAATTCATTTATACCAAACGATATGTTAGTTTGTTTAATAAATAATTTGATTTCGAAGTGATAATCATCTAATATAACTTTGCATAAGAAATCATCAATTACTATATATATATATTGTTGTCCTAAAAGAGATATGATTAACTCATAAGGTTTTCAAAGGATAACGTACAATAGTAATTTAATAGATATGGTTAACTTATAAGGTGTTCAAAGGATAGCACACAATAGTAAAGTTTTGGGCATAGGAAACGATGTTAGAAAAACACACTACATTTTATAGTATTAGTTTAAGGATGGTCATTTTGAGTTTTTGACCTAAACTCACAAATTGTTTGTTCTAGCATGTTATGCTTCGATCTTTTATTGGATCTCAATTATCTTTAAGATTCATTTATGTTAGTTTTCTTTCACCTCTCTACCAAATGATATAATATATATTAAGAACATAAATGTGAATCTCTATTTGTTAAACAATTCCTGGTCTGAGAAATTTTACATTGCTATATAGTATTGGTGTTATAGGATTTGTCTTTATGGTATAACTTAAAATTGTACATTTATGTTATGGTACAACTTCAGATTGTACCTATACTTTTTGTACAAATTCTTTTATGGTACAACACTACAACTTGAACTTGTACCTTTATGTGATGATACGACTTCAAATTGTAAAGTTGCACCATATCATAATGGTACAAATTGTTTTATGGTACAACCTAAACTTATACATTTAATGTTATGGTACAACTTTAAGTTGTACATTAAAGCACCAATACTATATAGCATAGTAGAAGTGCTCTTCCCGGTCATGTATTTCTCTCATTTGATGATTAGAAAGTGGTTTATTGTGGTACACAATGTTTAAAGTTGTAAATGACAGTTAATATACTTATACAATCATGTATTCAACCATCTTATAGTCTTGGTTTGTTTATACCACTATGGTACGCTTTCAAACCATAGGTATGCTCTTATTTCAATACCAGTCAATACCATATGGTATATACTTGTAAACAATGGCTCAATTTTTTTTTTGTTCCAAAAATATATCAAAGTGAGTATCATTTTGAAGAGAATAATTTATCTAATATAATTGTGCAAAAAAAAATCGACTTAAAACGAGTGAGAAATCGTCCGTTAAAGATTAATGAGAGAAAATTAAAAGTTTTTCAGTAAAGAGAAGAGACGCTAATATGGCAGATAATAATTGGATTATACATGATTATTGACAAAAAGGTTATTGAACGAATCTGCTTCCACATAACTTGGGGTTGTGATTTATACAAGAAGACCTTTAGTTGGAAATTGACTAATTGTGTTCTGACTTCTGAGTTTTTTTTTTTTTTTTTTTACAGAAGACTTCTGAGTTGGAAATGGACTTCATATGAAATTACTAATACTCTATTTACGCAATATAATATAATATAATCCCGTATTTACTGTAAATGTGGGGTTTGATTCCTTAATTAGCGATGGAAACTGGCCAAAATTATTTCCCTCCCTCCTTTTCCCCTTTCCCTTTCCTCTCTTCAAAAAATAATTAACATATCCGCCAAAAAGCAGCCGGAAAAGGCCATTAGTCCATTACTGATTTTCTTTTCTTTTGGCTACTAGTTTCAGGCTCTCTCAGCAACCAAACACTCAACTTTCTCGCCCAGCGAGAAAATTTTCAGCTCACAGATCCACAACTCAACTCTCTGCTTCCTCCCGTTAGTTTCCCCCCAAGAAAGCTGCAATCTTGCTCAATAATATATTAGATTACGCTTTCTCTTTTTCATGGTCTCTGCTCAGAGCTCAACTCTGTAGACTGTCGTCAAAAGAATTTCTTGCTCTTTCTCTTTCCCGTTTCCCAATCCCAACCCAAGCATCGATTTCCCCAAAATTTCCCTTTTTCTTCCCCGAATTCCACGGTCTATGTTCTTGCTTAGATTGCACACATGCCGGAGAAATCAGGACTGAATTCTCCGAGGTCCTCCTCCAAGGCCTTCGCATGGCTTTTCCGCCCCAGCCCTCTGCATCAATGGCGGTTCCACTTCCTGACCGCCATGGTCTTCGTGAGCATGGTGGTTGTTTGGAGCATCGACGGCTGTACTATTAAGAGCTTCGTCGAATCTTTGAGATCCACCAAGCCACAGCTCATCACAGCCGCAAAGTTTCGTCCCCAACCCACCGCGAGTCTAGCTCAAGAAAATCCCCACCGGGAAAATTTCACCACCGCCGACGCCGATTTCACGCTCCGCAACGAGACCGCCATTTTCGCCTCCTCCTCAGCCGCAGCTGATGCTCCTGCGAGTCCGATTCTTCCTCTGGGCCGCGACGTGCTCAACGGCAGCAGCAATGCCTCCGCCGCGAGCTCGCAGGAAGATGGGTTGTTAGTACAGATGCCGGTGCGAATGGAAGAAGAGTCGAGCGGCGGCGATGCGGAGTGGGTGACGGCGGAGCTTGAGGCTAATTTCACTTCCGGGCTTCTCTCCCGGTGGCTGGCTCCCGGCGGGGAGGCATGCAAAGATTCACACACCGAGGAAATCGCGATTCCAGATCTGGACGGGAAGAAGGGTATTCTGGAGCTTACCGCCGGACATTCACACGAGTTAATTTTCCAGGCGGTGGACGAGTCCAAGAACCCTCGTTGCTCCGGCGGGGATTACTTCGAATCGGATCTTTCAGGTCAGACATGGAAATCTCGGCCTCTAGTCAAAGATTTCGGGAACGGGAATTACTCAATTACCCTCCAAGTTCACCCCGATTTCGCCGGAGATTACGACCTCACTCTCATCCTCCTCTACCGCCATTTCGAGGGTCTAAAATTCTCGCCGGGCAGATTCGCCATCGACAAAGAGCTCCGCAAGCTCCGAGTCAGATTCACCGCCACAGGTAACATCCAATTACCGCAGTTAAAAGCTTGCTCGAACTCCGATTTCAGTAGAGATTTATGGGTTGGGAGATGGACTCGGCATGGTAAAAACGACGATTGCAAGATTAGTTACGACGGCCGGTACCGTTGTTTGCCCTCCGATTTCCCCTGCCGGAATCCTTGGTGTAGAGGTTCATTGGGGGAATTGGAAAGCAACGGCTGGGTTTACTCCACACACTGCTCTTTCAACCTCTACCAGCCCGATTCGGGCTGGAATTGCCTCAAGAACAGGTGGATTTTCTTCTGGGGCGATTCCAATCATGTGGACACAATCAGGAACTTGCTCAACTTCGTGTTGAATCTGCCCGATGTGAAATCCGTCCCACGAAGATTCGATCGGAACTTCACCAACCCCAACGACGCGTCTCAATCGGTTCGTATCACCAGCATTTTCAACGGGCATTGGAACGAGACACAGAACTACCAGGGTCTGAATTCGTTGCGAAATGATGGGTTTAGGGACCTGCTGAAGAAGTACTTCACTGAAGATACTGTGCCCGACACCGTGATCATGAACTCTGGACTCCACGACGGGATATACTGGCCAAACTTGAGGCAATTCGCCGGAGGAGCTGACTATGCTGCTCGGTTCTGGGGCGAGGTGATGGATTCGGTGAGGCGGAGAGGGCTGGCTGCTCCGCGGGTCATTTACAGGACGACGGTGACCACTGCTGGGGACGCGAGGAAGATGGCGTTTAATCCGAGCAAGATGGAGGCGTTCAATTGGGTGGTGCTGGACAAGTTCAGGAGGGCCGGGGTGATGGACGGTGTGGTGGATGACTTCGACATGACGTTCCCTTGGCATTTCGATCACCGGTGCAGCGACGGAGTGCATTACGGGAGAGCTCCGTTGAGAATGAAGTGGAAGGACGGCGAGATTGGACACCAGTACTTTGTGGACATAATGCTGGCTCATGTGTTGCTCAATGTCCTATGTGCGAGATGAGAAATGACAGTGGTGTACATAAGTTCATGTAGACCGAATTGCAGGCATTCTGCAGCTCCTCCTCAGGAGAGGGGCATTCTTTTTGTTGGTTGGGTTGATGCTAGAGTTACAGAACTCTGTATGCATTCTTTCTCCTCTTGTTCTTAGCTTGTAGTATATAATACAAGATGTTTAGAAGGGTGGTCTACACTTGCAGATTTTTTTTTCTTCGTTGAATCAATTGCTTTTATTCCAAGTAAGTTGAATCAATTGCTTTTATTCCAAGTAAGAATTGATACAACGAAGTGGAATCACAAAGGATCCCATAAGATCATCGATTCCAAAGGATCCCATAAGATCATCTCACTGCGACCTGCTCCTATATATGAGACTACTTACAGAAAAACTCAAAACAAAAACTAGACTTGGCAAATGATGATTCTACCCGTTGACTCGACCTGAATCCGCCTGAAAAATAAAGAATGGGTTGAGAATTTTATAACCCGAATCTGATTAACCCGTAGTTTTTGGGTCGGGTTGGGTTGGTTTGTGGGTCGACCCGCTAGACTCGTTTCATTGAATATGTCACTCTCAAAATGATAAAATCACTCATACCTTGGTGAGATGTTTAAAAAAAATTAGTAGGATTTGAAAGACAAGTTTGGAGTGTAAAGATAATCAAACATCATTTGTTTATGGCAAAATACACTTCTATATCTATAACTTTCACGTTTGTGACATATATATCCATAACTATCGAAATACACGAAATACCCAATTTCGATCGTCCATTTAACGGCGTGAAGTAACTGGGTGATTGTACTGACGGGAAGGCTGAGTTGGCGTTTTAGCGTCCCCACTAATCCACGTGGATAAAAAAATAATAAATTAAAATGAAGGATAAAACACGGAACACGACTCTACCCTAACTTTTTCAAGTCTTCTCCAAATCTTAGCTCCTTCATCTACATTTGTTCCCTCCGACCACGACGGTCGACGAGGTGTTTGTATCCCATCATTCCTTCAACAACCACGATCTATCCCCAAAATTCACAGCACCTATTCCGATCGGCGCCCTTACCACCCAGAAATCTGTATCCCACCTATTCCGTTCCATCCCCCGTCGTCGCCACCTTAGCCAGATCATGTCGTGCATGCATCTTCCGGCGTAATAGACCCACGACGGCCGTTTCCCGACAAAACCCAAGCGTCCTGTTCATGGCAAAGGCACCGTCGTAGCCTAGGACCGCCGAGAAAGGTTTTTTCCGAAAATCCTAATTGCAACCAGGAATCGACGATTTCTTTTCTCTTCGGTTGTCGAAGCTGGTGAGCACTGGGTACACTTCAATTAGTTGGGTTGTGGCTTTCAATTGTGGGCCAAAGGTTCTTATTGAGTGCTTGTCTCCTTTTGTTAGTCAAAGCTTGCTTTAAACTGGAAAGCGACAGAATAGATTCGAACGTCGGACAACGAGTACCATGAGGCAAGGGCTAATATACGAGTAGGGGTGTCAGTTCGGGCCAGGTTCGGTTACCCGAACCGAAACTCGAAAAAACCCGAAACCGAAAATTACTGAAACCGAACCCGAACCCGATAAGGACTTGCGGGTTCCGGTTACCCAAAACCCGAAAATTCCTTATCGGGTTCGGGTTCGGTTAAAGAAAAACCGAAACCCGAAAACCCGAACGCCTAAGAATACATACTTAGTTCTATTCATTGGAGGTTTTTAACCGGAACCCGAAAAACCGATAAGCAAAACCGAACCCAAAACCGAAAAAACCAAAATCCGAAATGAACCGAAAATGTATATAATCAGGTCGGTATTGGGTAAACCCGAAAAACCGAACCCGGATGGACACCCCTATCTACGAGCTTATGGCGAGATGAGGAAAAGAAAAGTTAAGGCAAGGGCTGATTGTCACGGGGAAGAGGTTGATCAAATGGATGAGTTTGAAGAGGAATCCGAGGATGAAACCATTGAGGAGATTGCTCCTCAAGTCCAGATTGATGATGAATTACAAGGTGAAGGCGCTGCCAGAACTGAGCAAGCAGCCAAATCTATTGACGCTCCTCATGCCCAGGAGGAAAGAAGGGAGATTTCTCAGCATTCCAGCTATAGACTGTCGAAAGATTCTTATCATGTGAGGGCAATCTGTCTGACGATGGTGATGTTGAGCCATTCGCTGATGCACCACGTTATGATCCTCGGTGCGATCATAAACAATTCCAGTTCACTCCTCGTTTGAAGTTCGTCTGTCCGGAGCAGTTTAAGAATGTGGTTGTACTGCATTCCGTAGCAGCAGGGGCATGCTTGAGATGGAAGAGGAGCGAGAAGGATATAAAAGAGGTTATATGCAAGGATAAGCGGTGCAAATGGAAGGTTTATGCGAGCTGGTTTAGGAGGAATCGCATCTTCATGGTTAGGAAGGTTGGACTGTTGCACTCTTGTAATCTCAACCTACGTGTCAATTAAGTTACGGCCAAGTGGATTGCATCTGATATGCTGGACAGATTCAAAATCAATCCAGAGTGGAGTCCTGATCAGATTATGGCAGAAATCAAGTTGAAGCACAATATGGAGGTGAAAAGGAGAACCTGTTACCAGACAAAGGTGGAAGCGGTTAAAATGTTAAGTGGTTATTTAGTGGATGAGTATCGTGTTATAATGAGTTATATTGCTGAATTGCTTAAGCAGGATCGAGAGGGGAAATTTGTTTTGGAGGTTGAACCGCACCCTACACAGGAGAAGGTATTCTTCCAGAGGTTGTATGTTGTGTTCTCAGTCCTACGAGACGGATTTCTTTTAGCTTGTCGCCGGATGTTTGGCTTGGACAACTGCTTTTTGAAGGGAGAGATGAAAGGGATGTTTCTTACTGCTGGAGGGAAGGATGGGAACAATCAAATGTTCCCAATTGCTTGGGCAGTTGTGGAGGGTGAAAATTCAAATTCATGGAGGTGGTTTGTGAACATCTTGTCGCAGGAGGAAAGCTGTTCACGAGCTTGAGGTTCGACCTCAAGCTCATGGAGCTGGCAAAGAAGTGTCGAGGAGGGGAACTGTCATCCACTGCAGCAAGTGTGGAGCGGAGGGGCATAATGCACGGACCTGTAAAGAGCCCGTTTCAAATGCTGCCCCCGAGAGACAGGTGAATGTGATTTAATTTTGTCTTGCACAATGTGATTTATATGGCTGAACTTGATTTATATTTTTGAATGTAATTTACTTTTTTGGAAAGGGAGACATAATTACAGTGAGGAGAACCCGTGGTTCAACTGCTCAGCCAACGCCACGGCCAACTGCTCAGCCAACAACTCATAACACCGGAAAGAGGCCAAGGGTGGGTCATTGTTCGAAGTGTGGTTCAGCTACCCACAATGCAAGAACTTGTCCCATAAACTAAGGGAGCGGAATAAAGGTATATAAGATTGTGTATGAATCGATCTACTTGTTGTGAAGAATGTGATTATGATTGGATGCATTATGTATCATGTGAGGTTAAATGTTGGTGATCGAAGGACAATTGCACGCGAGATGCGAGTTGCAACAACTGGAGTCGGTGTATATGTGAATGAGACCACTGGAAATACATATGTTAGGGTAAGACTAGTGGTTTATAGTCATTTGTTTCTTTTAAATGGTTGTGTATGTTGTTGATTACATATTTGTTCTTCCAGCTGAACGGAGCACATGGTCGTCTAGTGGGTGGAAATCAGCCAACAGTGGTGGATGTCCAAGGAAGTCATCCACCTGTCACTCAACCTTAGACGGAGGCATAATGAGTCGATTTACTTTTGTCAGCCCCAATGTAATGACTTCCATAAAGGAAGCTTTCAAATCGACTTATGTAACTAATGGGGCACTTTGTTAGGATTTGTAAGTTAAAACATCTTGTAATCCGGGAATGGTTATGTTCTATAATGTTAGTACGTTATGAACAAAACAATCATGTAAAGCACAGCTAGTTAACTTGGTGTGAATGGTTATGCAGTACTCCTTTTGTAGTAATCAGGAATGGTTCTTGAGGAAAATTCATTGCAACAACCACTTCATTTCCAATATTCTGGACATTAAACAACATTCCGGAATTATATTGTTCTTGATCGTACTACTTAAAAATACCAAATTGAAGATAGCATTACAGTTATATTGTTCAACCATTCTAGAACAAACAACATCATGACCACTTATCTAAACCCTACTACTTCTAAATCACAAATTGATGCCTCCACACAACAAAAAGAACGAAGGCATTCAATACAACAATAACGGTTAATATAAACCGAATTGCACGGAGATCTTCATTCACTTTCCTTCCTTCTTCAACTATCCTCTTCTTCTCCTTCCTCCTCCTCTTTGCCTTAGACTCATCAATTCTCAAACTCCCTTACAGTTGCAGTATTAACCTCTCAATATTTGTGTCTCAGACCTCGCAAACATCATCATTCATCTCCGCCCACCTAAAAAAGCGACAGTTCTTCTTCACATCCTGCCCAATGACAACCATCCAATTAACAAGCAACCTCTCAAACAACAACATTCATCATTACGATCATTCACCCTTACCTTCCAATATGGACATCCATAGAAGCGCCGACCTGGGTTATCATTAGTACCGGATGTTTTGACTACGACGGGAATGTTGTGCTTGCAGCGGACGAAGCCATCACCACTAATGCTTGTCGCAGAGGAAGAGACCCGCTTTGACATCTCCAACCCAACCCTTTGTGACGCTGGAGATTGAGAAGGCTAAAAATGAAATCTGTAGCGTGGAGACGCCGCCAGGGACGCGGATAGGGGCGCAGTGAGGGCTGCTGTCGGAGGGAACCCTTGGATCGGCGGCGGGCATCAACGTCTTCTCCAGCGCAGCCGGTTAGAATGTTTCTCTAGGAACCCTAAATGGAGTTTGAGAAAAAGGGGGTGGGGAGGCAGTCCTCGAAGGTAGGGTATAAAGGGGGGGGGGGATTGCTGATATGGCATCCACATGTCAAAATTTGTTGACCTGGAGCTTAGGTGGGAGATGGGTATGGTCCTACTCAGTGTTCCGTCACATTTACTGACGCCGTAACAAACGACGTTAAAGTTTGTAACGGAAATGGATAGATTTGTCACACGATAGTACAATTTTCTAGGTATTTCGTGTATTTCGATAGTTTTGGAAATATTTGTCACAAACGTGAAAGTTATGGATATAGAAGTGTATTTTGCCTTTGTTGGTTTATTGTAGTAGAATTACTTTCGTCATTGTTTTTTGACAATTTGTGCAATTTGTATTTCTTTTCATTAGCATGGAAAGAGTTGAGCATTTGTTAATTGACATGTGCTAGGCAAATTATTGTCACACATATGTAAAAATTTGTGTCTTTTTAAAATTTATGAAGCATGTTTGATATTGATGTTGAGAACGCTCATGACCCAAAACCCGACCTGAAACCCGATGGGTTGGGTCAATATTTGACCCAAAATCAGCAAACCCATCATGACCCGATCCGTGAAGACCCATAACCAGAAATTTCCAACCCGAAATTACCCAACCCGACCCAATTGCCAGGTCTAACAAAAACCTATTAGTATCGAAGATGTGTAAGTGCATCTCAAAAACCTCTATTCCCACATGATAAAAACATAAAATCCACCGTAATTTGTTCAGCAACTGCTTCAGGGTCGCGACAGGGCGTACCATGAACCACTTTGCACCGTTCCTTCCAATAAAAGACACTGTAAGACACCATACAAGAGCATTCCATTTTCCAGCTTGTAAATTCATGCATAATTCTGCATTGAGTGCCTGCACCATTGCATCCCAGTCTTGGAAACGCAGAAAGCTGAAACGCAGTAGTGTAGCTAGCCTGTGTGAATAAGTGCATCTGAGAAATAAATGATCACGACTCTCAACCTCCACACCACAGAGAGGACAGGATGCATCCCTGATCTTACCCCATTGCAATAGTTTGTCTCTGGTAACAATGGCATTTCTCATTAACAACCAAAAAATCAAGTTGTACCATGGGGTACAGTAACATCTCCATACAAGTTTGTGCCAAGGGACGACTGGATCCTTCCTTCTTAGCGTTTCCCACACTCTTCGAACGGAATAAACCATCATCTCTTGTGAATCCCAGTAAATGGTACCGCTTTGCTGATGTATCCATGATAAAATGATATCACACAACTTGAGCAGCCTCCTCCATGTCCATGAGCTACTATACTGCACATTCAAAGACCAAAGATCTCATTGACCACACTTGTATTCATACATCCATGCTACCCACAGTGCTCCAGCCTTCATCAGAAATAACTAAAGCATGCAAATTGTACAGGCCTGATTCTACGCCAACAGATCCTTGACCCCAAGGCCACCCTCCTTCCTGGGCAAGGCCACATAATACCACGCCACCTTAGCTCTCCCAGCATCAGTTTCATGCCAAAGAAATTGAGAACAAACCTGCTGAATCAGCTTCAGTGCCTTTATAGGAAGCACGAAGAGCTGCATCCAATATTGAACAACTCCTAATAACACTGAGTTGATTAATTGTAGTCTCCCAACATAGGTGAGTTTCTTTGCTCTCCAAGATTTAATCCGTTTTTAATCCTTTCCACTAAGATGTCCACATCTTTGGATGAAAGCTTGCCAGTCATCAACGACAGCCCCAAATATCGTACTGGTAACTCAGCCTTACTCATGTAATTTACGGGCTCCCCCAAAATAAAATTCAAATTTAGTTGGGCTGCTTTTAAGCCCTGATAGCTGATAAAACTTTTGCAGAACCTCCTTTACCTGTAGAATCGCTTGAGCAAAACCAGTGGTAAAAACCAGTATGTCATCATCAAAGCACATGTGGTTTAGAGCAATTCTTCGACACTGAGGATGGAAAGGAATCCATCCTGACTGACTTGCAGCCACCAACATGGTCGATAGGCCTTCCATGGCAATGGTAAATAGGTATGGTGATAGTGGATCACCTTGACAGACCCCCTTCCTAGACCTAAAGAAGCCACAGAGACTTCCATTGATATTTATACTGTAATGGGCAGTTTGCTGACAAGCCTTAATCCATTTCATAAATCGCTCAGGGAATCCCATGGCACACATCATAAGAAACAGATAATTCCAACTAACAGAGTCAAATGCCTTCATGATATCTATCTTTATTGCACATCTAGAAGATAAATTACTCTTATTATATCCACTAACCAATTCCCGAGCCAGCAAAATATTATCCATTATGCTTCTCCCTTTTACAAATGCTGATTAATTGTTACTGATAATCAGGTGCATAACCTCACTAATCCTCCTAGCAAGAATCTTAGCCACTATTTTGTATAAAAGGTTCACACACGAGATAGGTCTAAAGTTCTTCAAAGTATCAGCATTAAAAACTTTGGGAATCAAAGAAACAACAGTAGCATTCACTCCACTAGGAAGAGTACCTGTTTGAAAGAATTAGACGACCCCTCTGATTACAATATCCCCAATAATTGTCCATGTCTTTTTGTAGAACCCAAGAGAAAAACCATCCAGCCCTAGAGCTTTCTGGGAATTCATGCTAAATACCACACTCCGGATCTCTTCTGCTGTGATTTATTTAATGAGAAGTTCACAATCAGAAGCAGGGATGTGATGACGAACCAGCTGTGCCACCTCTTCCTTCCCATGATTAATTTCCAGATTAGCCTCCCCTAACAATTTCTTATAAAACCCAATGACTTCCTCAATAATCTGGTCAGATTGAAAGATTTCCTCCCCTAGATTTCTGCCAACAGAAACTTTCATACGCTAAGGAGATATGATCATAATGATCCTTTGCAAGTGTAACAACCTCAAAGTGTTCTAAAGTAGGATCCGAGTATGCTCTGGTTTGAACTTTCAGCAACTCCACTTCAGCCTCCTTAACTTGGTCCTACAGGTTTCCATAGATTTCTTTATTAAACTTCTTGAGAGCATGCTTAATCCTGGACAGTTTACTTTGAAGAATCTGCAAGGGCGTCCCCGAATCCTCAATACACCAGGCTTCCGCAACTATATCCAGAAAAAGTGGATGCCCTGCCCAAAACTTGAAATATTTGAAAGGTTTGGGCAAAGACTTTACAGGCGCCACTGTACAAACCTGCACCCCACAATGATCAGAAAACTGTGAAGGTAGAGCCTCCATAGCACAATCCTTAAAATGTTCAATCCAATCCAAATTAACCTGGGCTCGATCAAGCCTCCTAGTAATAAGATGATTAGCCTGCCTGTTAGTCCATGTGAATTGCGGACCCGTAGTTCTATAATCCACCAACTCCATCTCCCCAATCCAGTGATTAAAATCATTCATGCTCTGAGTAGAAGATCTTTGATTAGAAGTCTCCTGAGGGACCCGTACAGTATTAAATTCACCACCAACAATCCAAGGATGTCCAACTACCTTTAACTGTGCAATTTCCATGTAAGTGGTCTGCCTCTCTGCCTCTTCATTAGAAGCATAAATAGCAGTAAAAAAGAAGCTATCCCTGTTTAAATCCTCTACCAAACAGTGAACAAAATTCTTCCTTGGTTTGAGAACACGAATCTTAATTGCAGGATCCCAAAAAAGCCAAACACGACCCAATTTTGAATCAAAACAGTTGAGACATTTTTCCCACCCAGCAAAAACCTCCTCCACCACTTCCTTAGTTTTATTAGCCTGTATTCTGGTCTCAAGAACTGCAACTACATCTACCTTATTCCTACGCAGGAATTTCATCAAGTCCCTCTATTTGGAGGGTTTATTAAACCCCCGTACATTCCAAAATAAAACAATCATTTCGAAGTTGGGGGTTTCCCCCACCCTTCTTCAAATACTTCTTTACCTCCTTTTTCTTTGGAGCATCTTGAACCTTGCTTGCTTCTCTATAACCGAGCTTCCCCAGAACACTGAAAGATGAGTTAGAAACCTGAATGTCCTTTGAACTTTCCTGAGAGAGCTAGACACGAGGTCTAGCCCCATTTACAAGTCTCTGAAATTCATCCTCAGAGGGTAGCTAAGGAGAAGAAGTAGCCACCTCTTGAAATGACTTCTCCAAGTTCTATGGAGAAATTTGGCCCCCTCCCATCGATACTGGATTGGTAAAGATGGCATCAGCTAAGGATCATCATCATACACCACCACCTCCTTACCCTTACCCTTTCCACTCACAACCTGTTGATCAACAACTGCTTCCTGATTCATTGCCTCAACCATAGTGTCCTGTCTCGGACTAGTACTAACTACCTTATCTTCCTGCAGTTGTTTAGCCACCCATTGCTTACCCTGATGTGCAGCACATGATCCAGTAATCCCAAATAGATGAAAGACATGACATACTGGGGGAAAGTTACACTAGGTGACCCCGATGCGGATGGGGGAATCATCATCTGGCCACAGGAGAACATGATCAGGACACTTGTAGATTATGTACGACTAGGTTGTGAAAATATATCAGTTTCAAAAGTCGTGAACCAAATTGGACCATATAGTTTGATGTGAATTATCGATGGTTTAGAATGGTTTGATTCGGTCCATGGTATGCATGATGGTGTATTTTGATTTTCCGGTCTGGTTCGGTCCAGATTGTAGGTTACCAGATCAGATCGGGGATTCAATCCACTTTCCAATCCGCTATAGCGGCGCACTCGTCCACTCTCTTTACTTCTCAACGAGACTAGTGTCCTCCTTCCTTCATAGACCATACTCTATCAGAGACAGCGT